CCCCAAAACCCCAAAACCCCAAAACCCCAAAACCCCGCTTCTCCTAATAAAAATTGAAAGTCTTCATAATATGGGGTTTAAACTAGGTTTAGAACTTAGTACAATTAGTTACTTTGACTGGTCGTTTTTAGAATCATCTTTTGGGTTCTGTTGAGCCTGCTTTTTTGAAAAACTGTAAGTCCGGCTTATTGGAGGGGCTGGAGAGCAGTCTAAGACAAGGTATTAATATAGAGAAGGGGAAATATTATTAGAAGAAAAATATACCTGATTTTCATGAGAAGCTAAAAGCGTTGGCAGGACTGACTGGAAAATTCTGTCCAGGATTAGCTTTGTTATAATAGTTTTGGTTCATGCTTGAGTTATACTGTCTAGCTGAGTCTTGACCAGTCATCATATTAATTTTTCTCTTTGCATCATTTGCTGCATTAAAAGTAGGTGATAAATGATCTTTCGAACTTCCTTCAACTTGAGTAAAAGCCATTGCAGGGTTGAATGGGGAGGTTCCATTGTGAGCTCCAGTATTTGGTGAAGGAGGAATATTAAAGCTCCAGCCAGCAGGAGATGCTCCAAAACTACCTCCGGTAGGAGTGTTGCCAACTTGGGGAACAAAGAAAGCAGGTTGATATCCTGGTACAGCATAAGGAGACCCAGAGAAGTAATTTCCTTGAGGAGTCATGATATCTTTTCCGCCAAACTTCATTTGAGTTGAATTATCGTCTCTTTTGGGATTTGAAAAATTGCTTTGCTGATTAAACACAGCTTTAGTGGTAGAAATATCTCTAGGAGAGCATCCAAATGATCCAGGGTCAGCTCTTCTGCCTGACATTTCTCCTGGATTCATGACATTAATACCTCTACTAGTAGGAGTTTGAAAAATACCAGGATGGATGTCTACTCTTGGAGATTGATCCATTTCTTTTCTTCCAAATCCCGCTCTTGTATTAGATGCAGCTCCAGATGGACTAAACATTGGGTATGCTTGGGGTCTTCCATATTGGAAATAGAAATTAGCTCTTGCAGCTTCTGTTCCGCTATCCATCCCAGATGGAAAATAATTCCCCATTGGAGAAGGAATCCCAGTCTTGAAGACATTGTTGGCATAATTGATTGAGACTGTAGGTTTTGAACCACTCAGATCTTTGAGTCCTAGAGACAATCCAGAATCTTTGAAAGCAGCATTATCTTTATTATCACCAAAGGGATCTCTTGGTTTTTCAGAAGCAAATGGATCTTTAAAATTATTAGCGAAAGGATCTTTGAATGACTCATCTGGAGCAAATGGGTCCTTTTTGGATTGATTCAACTCTTTATTAGCTTTTCTTTGAGATGAACCTATAGTTGAAATGTTTGATTTTACCTTGACCTCCAAGTCTTAGCTCAGGATTAGGGGCAAATGGATCCTCTTTCCTTTCTTTATCAGCTGAATTGTCAGCATCAAATGGATTTTTGAATGCATCTTGAGGCCCAAATTCATTATTTTCTCATCTTAATTTCTTCTTTGTTTTCTTCTAAAAGAAGAAAGTTTGTATTTGAGTTGAGCTGACTGTTTTTATCTTTACTTCTAGAGAGAATCTGCCTTTTCCCTTTTATGCTCAAGTTAGCCGAGTTTCGCGAAGCATCATTATCATCTAGGTATGAAGAGACATCATCATGAGAGATATCAGCTCATGATCCCTATATAAATAGGTTTAGTAGAAAAATAAGCCTCAATTTCTAATTAGGAAGATAGACCAAGATTTTCAGTAGCTTCGATAACTGTGCTTATAGGAGTAGCTTACCTTATATTTAACTTGATGCTTTTTCAAAGTTCCCGATCTCATAAATCTAATCTTGCAGTCATTACATTCATAAGGTCTTTCACCTGAATGTCTTCTCTTGTGATCTGTTAAATGACCTTGGGTAGTGAAACTTTTGTTTCAACCATCGTATTCTCAAAAGAATGGCTTCTCTCCTGAATGAATTCTCAAGTGAGTCTTTAAATTTCCTTTTTCAGTAAACCTATTTTTCACATGATTTGATCGGACAAATATAAGGCTTTTCTCCTGTATGTGTTCTTTGATGAATCTTAAGTCTTCCTGAGCGTGAATATTGCTTATTTCATCCTGGATAATCTCATTTAAAAGGTTTTTCTCCAGAATGAATAAGATAATGAGTCTTAAGATGTCCTTTAGTGATAAATCCTTTACCACAATCTTCAAAATTGCAAACGAATGGTCTTTCTCCTGTATGAGTTCTCATATGTGTTTTTAAATTACCAGTTTCTGAAAATTTCTTTAGTCATGAAAGGAAAGGGCAATACAATTCCTTGGGTTGATTCTTTGGTCTTTTTGCCTTAGAGTAGCACTGTACTAGAGGAAATCCATAATAAGTTCGATTCCTTGACTCACTTGTTCCCTTCTTAGATCTAGTGCTTCCGGGATCATCATGATTATCAATGATTGGTTGGGATTGGAAAGGTGCAACTAGGTCTTTATTTATCCTGAGTATCAGCTATGGTCAGTTGATAAAATTCATCTGGGACTAGCTCATCATTATTATAGATCAGGTGATCATTCTCTTCTTGCTTCAAAGCGTACAATCTATCATTTCTGTCAATACTAAGAATAAAGAATAATCTTTGGAGGAGATCATTAAAAGTTTCTCCGTTGAAAACTCTAACTTTCATCCGATGGTTGATGTAGGTCACCCCTATTTCATAAGCTATCTTGGTCTTCATATTTATTATTATTTTATATACAATTAGCTCGCTATTATAAGGGGTTTTGGGGTTTTGGGGTTTTGGGGTTTTGGGGTTTTGGGGTTTTGGGG